CTAGAGTAGGGGTGGGGGCCCCCGAACGGTGACACCTCAACAAACTGCTGGAGGTCACTAGGGGGGGAGGTTTTGGGGGCCCTCTAACCACAACTAGGGGGCACTATGAGGTCGAGGACCGAGGGGATTGGTATCCTCCTCGCCTCAACAGGCCCATCCTCAAGGAGGTTCACAAGGAAAGGGTTGCCTGGATTGTAGTCAACTCCAGTTGGTTGCGAGGGGTAGGAATCTGATATGTGGTCGAACCTACAAGGGACGAAGGGAGGGGCACTCCACAGCCTGGTAAAAAGGGTTCCCTTTCTGAAACCCCACGGCGGGCTTTTCAGGAAAGGTACAGAGAAGGCTTGGGAAGAGGGTGTGAGCGCCACGAAACGGGCAGCCGTGCCGAGGTCCGACGAGGGGAATCCCGGAGAGGTCCATGGACGTTGACGGGAGCACTCAGGGGGCCCTATTGTTTAGGGACTTTCTGAGGGGAAGAGGCAGCCGTCGCACGAAGGGACTGGTGGGCCACAGGTGGGGTCCTCCAGCTCCCCAAATGGCCGGGGAACTCCGTGGTTTCTTGAACTCTGGTGGTCGAGGGGGCGGCGTCGAAGGCCGGTTATCTCCGAACTTGTGGCTGGTGACCAAGTTACAGGGTTGGAGAGTGGTCCTTACGGGCTTTTTCGAGGCGGCCTCCACCACTGCAAACTTCCGGACGAAGCTTGGAACCCGGGAGGAGGTCTAGGTCTGCAAGGGGTGGTCAAGTGCGGCTTGATGTGCAAACCCGAATGGGGTCCAGATAGTCTTCCGAAGGTTGAGTGCGTGGGGGGTCTACACGCTAGTCAACTGTTGAGGCGGGCGAGAAGAATGGGCCACAGGTTTTTGTAGTGGCCGGAGTCAGCTACTATGCTATTGCTCTTAGGCTAGTTACCTGGAGGGACGGCATATCCCGCGAGACCAGGTGCATGTGAATACTCGGTAGGAATACAAGCTTGGTAGCCACAAACGAATACCGGTTAGATACTGACTGCGTGGCGTCTTCAGGTCATTGTGGTGGTGGACCAGTCTAGTCCCACGGCAGGAGGGTTAGTGCGGGGAGGTCACAGAGGTAGTAGAGGGGTGTGTACAGCAACTCGAGAAGTCGTTTCTAATTTCTCACGGCGAAGTCTCGGGGTATGTCCTGAGAAAGGGTCCAAGGTTCTTCCGGCATATGAGACTTGACGACAAAACCAAGTATTCGTGTGGTGTTTGTCAGTCTGAAGGCTCTGGGTGTTGAGGGTCTGTC